CCGAGCGCCCCATTGCCGGCATGCTTCTTCTGGCGGTAGCCGCTGACCAGGTCCCACCCCTGACTTCCACGTCTGCTCTCAAGGGGTAGCGCAGGAGCCGGGCTCAGTTTTTGTGCCCAAGAATGGTGCAGACTTGGGGCCGAGCGGCAACGCAGCACGTCTGGCCAGCTGCATCCACGGACGAGCGTTCACCTCAGCGCGGCCAGCCCGGCTCCTCCCGGCCCAGCGGGGCTGAGAAGCTGTGGGTGGAAGAGGAGCACCGAAGCCTTTCCTGACAACTGCCAGGTGGGGGGCTGGCATCTGATCACTGCTCCGCGTGTGGTGCCAGGCCAGTGCTCGTTTTAAACGTGTCTGCTCCTGCTAGTGCCGCTGCAGGGCCCGCAGATTCATCATTCTCTGCACGAAACAGCAATGGCAACAGAGACAAACAGCCCGCTTGGCCCCGGTTCATGTTACCTGAATTTGTGCAACATTCCCAGGGCCCGGGACCTCAGGGAACCCTCCGAACACAGCTGCAACGGGCCCGTTTTGCAGCACGACCAACGTCTTTTCCCCCAACAATTTCTCTGTGTGGATAAGGGGCTTAGTCAGAGTAAAGCGCTGGGTTCGCCTGCCTGGCCCACCAGCCCTTTGGCTGGAACCAAGTTGCATTTATTTAGTTGCCGGCTGCTTCCTTATTTTTAGCTCATGGGCTGGAGTTCTGGAGTTTATTATCAGATCAAAGAGTTTATCTGGGTCACCACCCCCATCCCTTCCCCTCCATCCACATTCTCTTTAGCATCTTGAATCTTCACTCATATCCTTCTCTTAGTTGCCTTTTCACTAGCCGGCGAGGACCCAGAACCCTCTCTCTTTCATCTGACCTCCTCCGCATTTTGATAGCTGAAGTAAATAGGATGAAATTCAATCAGGACACATGCAAAGGTGTCCACTTAGGGAGGAACAATCCGTTGCACTCATACAGAATGGGAAGCGGTCGTCTAGGAAGGAGTACGGCAGCAACGGATCTAGGGGTCACAGTGGATCACAAGCTACATATGAGTCAACAGTGTGACACTGCTGCAAAAAAAAGCAAACATAATTCTGGGATGCATGTTCTCAGCAAGATACGAGACATAATTCTTCTACTCAACTCCATGTGGATAAAGCCTCAGCTGGAATAAATGTGTCCAATTCTGGGTGCCACATTTCAGGAACGACATGGACAAATCAGAGACAGTCCAGAGGAAAACAACACACATGATTAAAAGTCTAGAAAACATCACCTAGAAGAGAAGATTAAAAAAAACTGGGTTTGTGTATTCTGGAGAAGAGAAGACAGAACAGTTTTCAAGAATATAAAAAGTGGTTACAAGGAGGAGGCTGGGGTGTGTGTGTGGGGGCGGGGGGGAGAATGAGTCTATTTAATCCCAGACAAGAAGCAACAGGCTTAAATTGCAACAAGGACAGCTTAGGGTGGACCTTAGAAAAAACTTCCTGACAAGGTGGTTAAACACTGGAAGAAATTGCCCAGAGAGGTTGTAGGGGAAGATTTTAAGAGCAGGTGAGACAAACACCTGTCAAGTGTGACCAAGAATATTTAGCCCTGCTGTGAGAAATGGACGAGATGGCCTCTCGAGGTCCCTTCCGGTCCTATACTTCCATGAGACCGTGTCATTTTGACGGTGTCAGTCCCACATTAAAATGGCAGGAGCAATGCCGGATTTAATTCCACCAGAACTGGGTCTGCCCCGGGTCCCTTTGTCTGGTGGAATCTCTCTGGTTAGCTAACAAATTTTAGGAGCCAAGCAAACAGCTCGCTGTTCTCAGAGTTTCATGACATATTCATGCATCGTCCAAGCTGGGGTGTGGATCATGCAACAGGTTCTGGGCTCTCCATGGGCAGTGCAGACTGAGATCTATGGTATAGCCCCTCAAGGGGTTAGCCTCTAGCCCCATTGGTCACTGCTGGGGACAGGGGGGGTCTGTGGTAGAACCACAATCAGCTTGGAGAGTCAATGGGTCTGATCTCAGAGTGGGGACGGGGTGTTAAAATATGAGAAAGAGCCATGGAAAGAGGCCAGGCCAGAATCATCACATTCATCAGGGCGTGTGTGGTGTTTTGAGGACTGAGCTGCCATCGCAATCTATCTTTGTCGAAGTGTGTGGAGGGCTGTGGGCTTCCTGGTTCTGCCGGCAGAGTCATTCTGGACAAAACCGGCTTATAGCCTGGTGGGTGAGTTGTGGCGCGTTGCCTGACGGAGCAGCCTGTTTTCCCTCTCTCTGTTGCTGTGTGTTGTCGGTCTGACTTCTATTGCTCATTTCACACCTGCAGTGGGGAGCAGGCTGGGCGTGCGCCAGACGGGTTTTCTGCCCCTTGGTTAGTAGCGGTTTTCGGTTACTAATGCGGATCACCGTGATGGAGCTGGAATGCAGCCTCCAGCCAGCGCATGGTCCCAGGGTGAGACCCAAAAGGCAGGAGATCACTTCAGTTGTTTTCTTCCCTCCCCACTGAGCCTTCCCGGAAGTTGTGAGGCCCTGCAGCCTCGGAAAAGTGTCGCATGCTCAGCCACTCGCCCTGCAGCGGCACCCAGACCTTTGTTTATTCCTAGTTTTAAGTGGGCTTGCTTTGCTGATATGGCATGAGTTTGGTGGGTCTCAGTCCTGTGCCCACATCCCAAAAAGCTACCCTGGCAGCTGGCAATTGGGGTCTTTTTCATCTCAGTAGAGAGGTGGCCGGTTTAACTGGCTGTGACAGTCCGCACCAGTGGAGCTAAAATGTATATAATCACACCCCTATTTGTTGGGTCCGTAGGAGTTTACACCCCCTCTGCCCACCATCCCAGTACATACACCAAAACAAATAAAACCAACATGCAACTCTCTGTGAATATTAAAAACAGTGAGGCGCTGATTCAAACAGAGCCCATGAGCCATTGTAACAAGAGCAAAAGCAACACTGCGACTGTGGTCAATGCCTATTAAATGTGCCCCCCGCACCGTCGCAAACGGATTAACGTGCAGATGGCAACGCTGGAACAGAAGTCATGTGAACAGAAATCAGTCGGAATGCACAGCGCCATCTAGAGGCAAATACACAGCACCATCTGGGGCCCGGATAGGTCCGAAGGGATCATCTTTGCTAGTCATCCTTGCTGTGGGTAGAAAGAGGGCAGTGGGTTTTCCCTAAAGTTTTTAACACCCCCTTCCCCACAACTCATTCTGTGTCCCCTCATGGGGGCCCATCCCCACCAGTTTGAGACCCTCTGAATTAAATTTCCACTTTTACAAGACTATGCTACATTTGCTACAAAGGATGCCTGGACATTATTGTCCTGGTAAAAGGCCTGTATCAATGTCGTATCCAAAGCTACATGTTTCTGCACTATAGCATGGCAGTAGAATCAGAAGGGCAGGCCAAATTAGTTTTTCAGAGAGAAAGACACCCGGGCATGCCCTGACAGGTATCCACAAACCCAAGTGGGCTGTTGCTTACTTAAGCAATGGGCAAGTGTGAAGGAGAAAGTTACATTTCATCACAGGGACAAGAGCAACCTTCATGTCCACAAGCAACTACTTGTCACCTGCACCCCAGGATGCGTGTGTGGAGGGGGGTGATGCTCAAAGACACAAGGGTGGCATAAGAATGAGAGACAGGTGCTCTCCAATTCAGCCCTCCTCCTCCTTCATTTCTGCTCCTGACATCAACAACTCTCAAAGAGTGGAAGGAAGGCAGAGGGGGGTTCGAGGCTGAAATGCTGTGAAACTGACTGAGCATAGAGACCACCCTTCTCATCTGCTCACTCAGCTTGCTACGTTAGGTATTAGCCTGTGTTTTACTCTTATTTTTTTGTAACAAATACTGATTTATGCACCATCGCTTGTCAGCCCTTCACATCTATCAGTAGCTGATAAACTTCTCTTCTTGTTTTAGCACAACCAGTGCATTGGGGTTACAGTGTGTGGGAAACTCCATTTGGGATAACAAGGCTGGTGCATTCTCATTTTCCCGCAAAGAAATGATGGACTTTCTCTGACCTTGTCCTGTTCAGGCGGCTACTGAGCAGTGCGAGCTGCACGTTTCAAGGACTCAGGTAAATTACAACTGACGTTCTTCCAATATAGTCTGTGCACAGGATTGCAACTAATTTTAACTATGTGGACAGGGAGCAATGTCTGGGCTATTCCCTTGTTAAGATAATTCAGGCCAAAGAAAATCCAGTCACGGTGCGAAGTTTCTTAAAGGATCCATGTTTGATTCATTTTAATTTATAAAAGACACAGGAACATTTTTAAGAGTGGGAATGCTGGTACCTCTCCCTTTACCTCTGTCCTCCCCCCAAATGAAGCCAGAAGAAAGCCCTAGCATGTGGGCCCAGCAGCTGGGACCCGGGGCTGGCAGGAGAGCCCCCAGCACATAGGGCCGAAGCACAGCCTCCTGCACATGGGATGGTGCGTAGGGCAGCAGCTGGGACCCCTGGTGTGGCGCCAGCAACAGAGCCCCCAAAGTGCAGGGTGGCAGCTGGGTCCCCGGCTGTGGGGCCAGCCGCTGGGCTCCTGGGTACGAGGCCAGGAGCCTGGGAGTGCCGCAGCACCCCCTGCACCCCTAATTCCCACGCCTATGTAAAAGTGTTCTTTGTAAGTCCCCAGCAAATCCCTTCTGGCCTCCGAGCATAAGCAGTGTCAGTCTGGGGAGGAAAGGCTGTTCATACAACACAAGAAGGTTGAACTCCGTAGGTGAGTCGGTGCCTCTGTAACTAAAACTTCCCATGGTGCAGACTCCAGCTGACCCTGGGATGGTTCTGGAGGGCTGGGGATGTTGGATGATGATGCTGTATAGCCCTGAAAGAGGTGAGCTGTGTCCTAGTTTAGACGCTCCTTTGGCTATGTTAGGGGCTGGGGATGTTAGA